CCCCCCCCCTCCCCACCACCTACTTTTTCCAGACAGTTCTCATCGACCTGAATTTCTCAAACGTATACAAAAACTAAGCGCCATATTATGAGTGACAGCAAAGGAATAAAGCCTTCGAATGTGCTGGGTTTGCTGCTCCTAAAACTTCAGAACTGTCGTCAAACTAACTGACCCTTGAACGATTTCCTGGCCAACACGATTTGTGATGCGCTAGATGCAAGCAGTCTTGGAGATCAAATCAAGCGCCGTGAATATATTATCAGTAAAAATGACAAATGATAAATTAGCAACAATGAAAGCAATTACCGGGTGATCATCTGCATTTATAGCTTCCATAATTACATCGCTAACTTGTGCACATGTTAGTGTATAGTTTGTGATATTCAAAATCCATGAGGAGGTCACCACGACACGATTAACACCTGAAAAAATAATGCTGTGTGAATGCAGAACGATAATGGGAGCACTGACTGCTGTGAAAAATACCACTGTAGAGATGAATCCAAAAATAAGCCACAAGATGTAACTGTGAAAATGTCTCAAGCTGGCAGAATTTCCCGTTTTTTCATTCCAAATCGCATATGCAGAAAAATGCCTGACTGGTAAATATAACATTAAGAGGCAGGGGCCAAAAAAAGAGCACTATCTACCTGTAATGGCCAAGACGGTGTGGAGCATTACATCGATGGCATCGAGATGCAGTACAAGTTTTCCATGGACGGTACTCGCAGTTGTTGCCGACGCTAGCACCTAACCATCCAGCACCTCTACTTTTTCCCGGAGGTCATCCGATCGGGGAACCCTTTATCTTAGATACATCCGATGATATGCAGATGTTCATCGGTAAGTGATCAGAATACTGATAATTCAGGAAGCAATGAGTTATATGCTCGGATTTTGATCAATACATGAGTGGGTGCTCAAGTCTCCTGCATGAAAATGACGTTGCGAGTTTGCCACGAAACATTCCGTCAAATATGTTAACACACAAAAAAATCCCGACAAAGGAGAGTGAAAATAAGCGGAGCAACAGACCCGTCAAAGAGATGCTCAGCATATCCAGCGGATTGCGATACTCCGTGCTAATTGATTTGGCAACTTCGCGCCAACTGCTTCCACTACTATTCTGGTATTTCTTCAGGCATTTCACGGTGGGATGGTCCTCGAATGCACGCCAGTGATGACGTAGAAACACAAACAGTGCCGCTGAAAGACAAAATGAGATACA